TTCTTAAACGTCAGTTTGACTAGTCATTTTTAAGGTGCGAAAATGTTCTGTACTTACAGAACTATGTTAAAATTAAGTACGTTAATTGCTACTTTATCACATTGGCAATAGGCCGTCTACGAAATATCCAAATTTCATATATATGCATTTTTCTAAAATCTCATTCAGCAATATTTACTGGCGTGTAAAACGTCAAGTAAAGATGTATATAACGTGTATAATAGAATATATATAACTAGTATAGAACCCTTCTAGGCACAAGGTGAAAACGGCGCTCGGCGTCGTACCGTATCCGATATTTGTAGCATCTTCATGTAAAAGAGAATCGATATTCGAATTCGGCAGTCGGTATTGCTAAGTTCACAGAACCAAGGAATATGGAAAAATCCTCATGCTTACATAATCATTAAGTACCTGTAAATGAGGAGAAAGCAGTTTTGTGAACATTCATCTTTACATATATGTATGTGTGTTTTTCCTTCGAGACTAACTTATGAAACAAACGATAATTTACCTCTGTAAGAGCATCTTTCGTTAATTTAGGATACAGGTACATGAATCCTGTGGTGTTTGATAACTTTCCGGGTTGTAAATACAAGTGCTTATTATATAGAAGTTCTTGATCTATATATGGGGACAGAGGACTGTTCTCTACTCCATCTTTGCGACATGCTTCTGCCCAAGGGGCCATGTGTTTGTCATTTACCTCCTCGACAACAGAGCTCATATCAGTCTACATAAAATAAAGGCCTGCATACTTTAGCCAGTGTAGATAGCGCAGTGCCCCAGTAATCATGATTGATATTAAATAGTTCCGAGACTATGGCACTGATAGAACCCTGAGTAGAATCTCCCTCATCCACGAGATTATACGTCTGGCCTATTGTTTCTGGTCTGTTGGCTACGTGCCACATAGCTCTGGCAACATCCCTCACATGAACCGTATTCATATGAAGATACGGTCCCCAGAGCAATTTCATCATCTCTCCTAAATGCTTATAAACTGCACCCACTACCAGTCTTGGTGCTGCAAGTTACCAAGATATATATTCTTTTTCTTTTTTTTTAATTAAAAAGAGAACGCAGTTTTCAACAAAATAAACTCCGACAGAAATTAGAATTACCTAGGCCATTTCTGTCACCGCAACCATATACAATAGCTGGTCTGAGTACGGTATATTTTAAATCTGGTATGTTCTTCAATTCGTGTTCCACTTGTATCTTGTATTTTGCGACAAATGTCCACGGTTCTTCGGCGTCATCTTCCTTGTGAGGAGTCTATATAACATTGCACAATGATCAATCCTGAATCCATATTCGCGTTAAAGTATATGGCATTAAGAGAGATACCTTTTCTGAAGCGTTAAGGTTGCCGGAAAATATCTCCACGTAATGTAAAGCTCTAATCTTTGCCGCTTGCTGGGCGCAGTTCAGACTCAATTTGTAAATACCTTCTTTATACACTGGATCTGTGAGACCACTCTTTGTCTCTCCAGCACAATTGAACACATAATCGATAGGCTCGTCACAGGAAAACGCGTTTTGGCAGGACACTTTGATAGGATAAAAATTATCCTTTTATAGATTACTATTTATATCATATTTTTTATACTTTATGATAGACTGCGACACATGATGAATTAGTGATTACTCTTATTATACAGAGAATAAATACAATAATGGATAAGAAAGAGAAAGGTAATGTTAACTATTTATTTAGTAAGTAGTAAAACTTGAAAAATTCTTTTTCTTTCAGTTATATAGATGTAAATTGATTTATTCAATGGAACTTCTGTTCTTTGATATATTCTGGTTATAATTACCTATGTTAATCAAGTTCGCGCTCTTGAATTCAAGCAAAGGATGTTCGAACACCCGCTGGTGCTCCGCATTCAGCCACGCAGTCTGCGGTGGTACTTTGTCCACAACTCGCAAGTAGGATACCAGATCGTTATCCAGTAGATACCCCACGAGATTACGGCCGATGAAACCGCACCCTGTAACCGCAAACGGATAAAGGTCTCAGCCGTCACCGTCTTATCGCTCTTCCGCTGATCGCTCCGCACACAGCCGGCATATAGATATATATAGTAAGATACCTCACCTCCTAAAACGATCACTCTCGCTTTCTTATCACAGGTGGGCGTTGCCATGATCGCTTATCGTTTAATTAGTCGACTTTTCGTTCCTTCGTCGGTGCGCGATATCTTTGACGGGAGGATCGTCAGACTGTTCACAGCTGGTCAATGGCACTTTGGACGCACCGCGCTCTCGACCGGTCTTGCCGTCTTACCGCGCTTGCCGCTCACCAGTTAACCTAAACCACTAGCAATCCAAGTGACATTGGCTCCTCTATACTTATGACATGTGTACTTCGAATTACGTAGTAAGCATATAAACTTTCCCAGTGGATAACACATCCACGGCTTTGGTTCTTGAATGATTTTTGAAGTTGACTACTAGATAATAGTTATAATTATATCGTATATTATGATCTAGTAGTCATAAGTTTGGAGAAATGTAAAAAAAATTGCTCATATAAAATTATAATATAATTATGTTGTATGAATAATTTTTTTATATTTCTCAAAACTTGATTTTTCGAAAATAAATAATGCGACAATTATCCCTTTAATTATTATTAATGTTTTCTCATTATATTATTATTATTTTTTTTTTTAATAGACTAAAAGTAATTTTACAAAAGAAAGAAAGAAATATATATATTGCAGAACAACAAATCATTATGATATCAAAATAATGTCAAAATGATTTCAAAATGATCATTAAAAGTCATTTTTTAATTTTCCGATTCATTTAAATGTCATTTTGATGTTGTCATTTTATATATAATTATAAATGTTTATACGTATTTATTCAACACGAAAAATTTTTTACCGGGATTCAAAAAATTATTATTTAGATCAATTTAAAATAAAAATTTAAACATAATTAATAAATGTTCTTGAATGCTCTATTTATTATAAACAACAATATGTACATAACTCAAACAGATCATTATTTATGATAAAGGTAGACGTATATATACATTGATTAAACATTACATAAATTTATTAATAATAAATTAAATATATTGCTGAATATATTCTTCTTGTTGAGTTATTTCAAGTAGGCGTGATTCTATTTTGTGTTTAAACAATAAAACTTTCACAAGAATTATTAGATTTTGTAATGTATGTATTAGAACGCACGTCCTTATCTAAAACAAATTGTTGAATTAATTAAAAATGTATATATATAGCATTAATAAATATAATAATTTAATATTAAACAATAAAAATTTTACAGAACATTATCCCTTTATAATTATCGGTTATAATTAGAACAGGACAGTACATATGCATATACATAAACACGCATAAATATTCATAAACATGTATAATTATATATGAAATATGTCCATACATGTTTATAAATATCTTTTTTCTTTTATAAAATTAGTTTTTAGTGTAATAGAAATAATAATAGTAATATGAAAACGTTAAAAATAATTAAAAAGGTAATTTTCGCACTACTTGTTTTAGAAAAAATCAAGTTTGAAGAAATGTAAAAAAATTATTTATGTAGAGAAAAGTCGCCGATACTGACGTAGTTTTTCTAAAGTGATAATACGATTTTTAATTTAAAATTGGGGTGCAGCATAAACCGCCACACCTGTCCGTAAAACAGACCATGAGCTAACTTAATCTTTATAATGTTGCTTTATAGTGTCAAATAAGTCTATTGGAGCTGAAGGCAATCGTGCATATATGGAACAACTCTAGAAAAACTATCGCGTTACGTATTTACATCTTGCAGAACAGCATAAAATAAATATGCATATAATTCAATAAAAATGTTTTATAACGAAGTAAAATGATTCTGAAAAATCTTATATACATTCACTTATAGGTACTTTATACAGATAATTCCTGTAAAAGAAAAAGAATAGGAATACGTAGCATTACTGCCTACTGTGTCGGTTTTGGAGCCCATTTTGTCAGACGCTCATTTTGCTTACCTTACGAAAAAATTAATTATTAAAAAATTGCAAATTATAAAAACTGCTTATACTATGTCATAGAAGACAGATTTCAGTTTGTAATTACGTTTTTAAAGTTTTATTATCTTTTGTTTAAAGAAATATTGTCTAAAAACAAAGTGGTTGAGCATTTTTTTTTACATTTTTCTAAATTTGTTTTTTTCTAAAACAAACAATTATTTATTTAATTATTTTGTATGTTTTCACATTATTATTAATTATTATTTCCATTACACTAAAAAGTATAAATTTTACAAAAGAAAGAAAGATGTATGAAGATGTATGGACATATTTCATATATCATTATACATGTTTATGAATATTTATGCGTGTTTATGTATATTTATACATGCATGAAAAATTTTGTATAAATGCATTAATTAAATAAAAACAAATTAAATAAATATGTTTTAAATACATCAAATTTACCTGATTATATTGTTTCTGATTAATAAGTGGATGTGTAGTTTCCATTGAATCATTATCAATTGGCAATGCTAGATATTTATCCACAAGATCAGTAATCTAAAAAACAAAATTATTTCGATACTTATTCGTAATTAATATATTAATTTTATATTTAAAAAATCAGTATTTCCAATATTTTAGTTTTTAGTGGATATATATATATATATATATATATCAATACTAGAAATTTAACTGCCTATTCAATCTTGAATTATTTAAAAAGCAACGAAGATCCAGCTCCGACCATAATAGGCAGTTAAATTTCTAGTATTGATTGAGTTCCTCAAATATACGGTCTAAAAATATAAATATATTATATACATATCATAAAAAAGCAGGTACAATAATAAATATAATATTGATGAAGCATTATAATTTACCTTATTCAATTGCTCCTTGGTATACACGTGATTAATAATATCTGTTAATGCTACAATGGCAGTCATTTTTCTATGTAAATAAAAGAGCTTTATTATTAGTATATATTTTTTTAAGAATTTAAACATTATATCTCCGAATAAAAATACCTAGGTTTTATTCTATCCAAATTTAATAATATATAATCAAGCATGGTATCGTTCTTTGCATGTCTCGCAACGACAGAATGAAAAATGTAAACTTGAAAGTAATCTTGTTGTCTTTCATCATAAAACTCTGCTGACTTTATGAACTCTATATAATTACGGATAATAAAGAAATCTTCGGAGCAAGCCATGAATTTAAAGTACATATAATCAGGTAAATCAAGTTTTCTAATATGTGTGTTACGTAATGCTGAATACCAAGTATTATTATCTGCTATCATTAAACCATTACAGTATGTCCATTCCTTCCACCAAGGCGAAACACTAGAATATTAGGAAGAGAATATAAAAATTAATTATAAAGTTTTGTTTGTAGTATTTTAACTTATTAAATAATTCATTAAACGTTACATAAATATGAAAATAACTTTTACTATTAAAAATAATACAAATAATTATTCATATTACGTTTGGTTTTTTAAATGTATATGTAATCTAGAGTGAGCTTCCTTCTTGCATTCGGAAGAACCAAGAATACATGCCCATCTTGAAATCTCTTCTTTTAAACTAATTTTGAACAAATTGTCCGAATCATCTTTTATTATATTAACAAAAATTTTATTTACTATTCTCAGCATATGGTTCTATAAGAATTAAGTAATATAATATTTACGGTGGTTCTTTATTATATTAATAAAGAAAAGAATTATGCGTGTGTGTATGTATGTATTTGTGTTTGAATAAATGTGTTAATCACTAATTTTTTGCTATCTTCATAAATTAAAAATTATCTAAAATTATTATATGTATTTTTAAACATATATACTACAGTATTATACATCTATATATAATCAATTCAATTATACGGAACGTAACCAATTAATTAAATTTGATGTTTACTGTTTTGACATTAAATCGTCGTATCAGAAAAGTATAAGAATTTAAAATCTGTGCAAAGTAATTCGAAAAAATATATGGCTAACTGATTATTACAAGACTTCTTACAAAAAAATATAATTTTATTTCAAATTTTACTTTGAGTCTTACAAAATATTGAATTAATAAATATATTTAAAAATGCAATAATGAAAGTTAGAAAAACGTTACGCTATTTACAAAATAATTACAAAATTAAATAATTAAAATTGATTTATAATATGCTTTTATATTCTATTTTTAAATTAATGAGACTTTTAAAATGAAAAGAGTAAACAAATTTTTCAATATATATACTAATTTGTTAAAGACATCAAGAAATAATTAATATAAAATTAATTACAATCTAATATTTTACATATTTTATTGATAAAATTTAATATTATCTACCTTGATATGTAAACTGTTTTGATAATGGAAAAAAGTCGACATGTATTCAAGACTTTTAAACATAGGATACCATGCTATAAAATCTGTCTCTCGCTGTAAATATTCCGTGAGAGCCAAGAATAGATACAAATCAATTTCCTTTCTCATAAAAAAATAAAATGCGTCATCGATAATTTGAGCACGGTTGAGAACATGTATTTTATCCATATGATCCCAGTTTAAGTATTCCGAGATTTGTCCCAAAGTAGTCTTATCATAATTGACACGATAATATCCTGTACAATCAAGAATTGTTTTCAATCAAGGTTATATTTTTGAGATTTTAAAACCGTTATCATTTTTTAAATGGAATTATATGCATGGTTTTTTCAATAATACAGGATGGGGCACCTAAAACAAAACATCGAAATATCTCAAAAATTAAATACAACAGGGAAAATTGTTTCAGACAAAAGTTGTATGATTTGAAGAGGGACAAATAATGATGAAATAATTTTTCAAAAAAATCGATTTTTCAAGGTCACATGAACGTTACCTCCACTTTTTTAAACGAAATGGTATGATCTTTTTACACAATATGGTTTCTCTAATTATTCAGCATATAAAAGTATTAAGATAGTTATATCAAAGAACCAATAGTTTACGAGATATTTTATACTTCATGCACATATTGACCTAAAATGTTAAATAACTCGTAAACTATTAATTTTTTAATAATCGTACCTTGATACTTTTATGAACAGAACAATGAGATGAATCAATTGGTGAATAGAAAATATATATAGTTGCATATTTAAAAAATTATCCATTTTGCATACATATTTTTCTGAAGCAACTATGTGTTCTTTTTCCACTAATTGATTTATCTCAATATTCTATTAATAAAGGTATTAAGGCACGAATATAAAAAAATTAATAGTTTACTAGGGTAAATGTTACTAGTTATTTAACATTTTATACGTTATATGTGACTTATGTTGGAATAAAGTATAAAATATCTCGTAAATTATTGATTTTTTGATATCACTACCTAATACGTTTATGTGCAGAATAATTGGAGAAAGCATACTGTGTAAAAAAATCATACCATTCTGTTTAAAAAAGTGAAGGTAATCTTGATAAATCAAATTTTTTGCAAAATGATTTCATCATTATTTGTCCCCAGTGAATATAACTTTTGTTTGAAACATTTTTCCTTACCCCATATAATTTTCGAAATATTTCGGTGTTTTGTTTTAGGTGTCCTATCCTGTATAATAACATAATATAATTCCCCTAATTATTCCATAAAATTATTACATAAAAATTATTTTAAAAAATGAATATATTATAAGATATTTTATTTCATTCTCGCCCTTATGAAGTAAACTGTAATGTTCACGAAACACTGATATTCTAATAATATAATAGGTCTATACAGACACAGAGATAACCCGCGAAACGCATAGCTTCTAAATTATTAAATAATATATATAAAATATTTAAGCACAATACATTTCTTAACCGATATTTACCTATTTGTTGTACATTAACTATAATCCAATTACTTGAATCATGATTTAAAAACATTTCTTCTCCTACTAAAGGAAAGTGCATAGAAAAAGACAAAGTTAATACAGAAAAATCAGGATCATGTTTAATTGCATTCGTAACTACGGTGAAAGGTATCGACCAGTCCTTCTCATTAGTATTCATATTTTCTATTAATATTTTCACGGCAGAAATATTATGTTGTGTAACCTTCACCACAGGATAATGCTGTTGCTTTGTCCAAACATCCATTAACTGCTTTACGCTTAATCCTACACGGCTGATTGGAGAAGTATCATAAGCACGTTGTATAGCAGTCCAGACAGCGTCAATAGTTGTCATATCATCTAAAGAAGGGCTGTAAAATTTATAATAACATTACTATTAATAAACACTCCAATAGATGTATTTCTAATTTAAAATTATTTTATATAAATTCTATGAATGTACGTGCGCGTGCGTGCGTGCGGGTGTGCGTGTGAGTGCGTGTGTGTGGGAGGGAAGGGGTGTGCTACAAACTTAACAAATTTTACAAATAGTGATATGTCAGTTTTTACTTACTCTTCGCTCAAATATGTCTTTATACCCTTCTGAAATATTTCATTTGAGAGCATCAGTTGTAACATGCGCAGTATGGATGGTGCTATGGAAAGTTAGTTTATAAAATATAATTATATGTTTGAAGCATTTATTACAATTCACATATATATTTGTAGAGATAAATAATCTTGTAAAGAATAAATTTATTCTCTCGAATTATTTTTTTCTTTTTCACTTTTATAATACAAACGTAATATGTAAATAAAGATAAACACTTACAATTTATACTTTTACGACATTCACGTTTGAAAATTTATGGACTGTGTAATTAATATGTTACCTTTTATATAATAAGACATAGAGAAAATTGATTCAATTTCAGAAGGAAGTTGTATTTCTCTTATAAGAGGCTTCATAATGAAATTATCATCGAAACGAAGAGATTCTTGTAGAGTCTGAACGACAAACAAGTCTTTTATACGGAAATTTTGGAAATTCTAGAAATGAAAATTTTAATATAATCAATAATTAATTAGATGAGATGTTCATATTAGCACACTGAAAAAAAAGATTGGTTGCTGCAACAATTTAGATAGTAAAATATGGCATAGCATTTTTATATGGCTGCAGCAATCAGTTTTTGGTTATAGCAGCATATTTTTAATTGTGTTAGTCTATCCGCAATGTCAGTATATGATTTCGATAGGCCAACGCTACTAAAAATTTGCTGCTACAACCAAAAATTGATTGCTGCAGCCATATAAAAATGCTATGCCATGTTTTACTATCTAAATTGTTGCAGCAACCAATCTTTTTTTTCAGTGCAGCAAAATATGCATCGCGCAGTGCTACTGCATTGCACTATTATTACTATTTCATAAATAACTGTTTTGTATTAGGTGTGATTTATATAGTAAAGTTTCTGCCAAATGTATAATATAATTATTTTAAATTATATATAGTATCCGGTCTATTATGAAAAGAGTCTTTACAAGTCTTTACTACATCAGTTTAATTTAAATACATATGTTATTGTTTATTCATTGAAAATAATATTAAATAAAAAAACCTCATCAATTGCATCCAATGCGAGCAATGTTGTAATACCCTCGATTAACCACATGTAAGACCACCAAGATGGACTGATACGGTTCCTAAAGCATTGATATGCTACTGAACGTCCTATTAAACGGGCAATTTCTGGTTTACGCATTAACGGATCTTCTTCTTCATGAAATATAACAGCTGTTTCTCTAAAAAGCATTTCAATATAATAGAATTATGTTACGTTTTACTCCTTCTGTTTAATTGTTTTAAACTTTAGCTGTATGTGTCTCTCTCAATAATTGTATAATCATATTTTATTGTATATTAGGCTATTAAATGATACTTTTAAATGGGCTTGTTTCGATGCAATATTAATTAAAATAAAAAAAATTTTTTTAAATAAATGTTTTAAATAAATAACTTTTTTTATAAATTAATGTGAAATTTTGATGTGAAATATGAAAAATATTGTTTTATAACAATAGTAAAATATATTTTCCATTTAAAAAATAATATCCTTAAAAGGAAAATGTAATACTTATAATAAATGAGTCCCAAATTTGAAACGGCATCGTGTCGGAAACCTGGGATTAAAACATGAGTTATGCTTGTGTTATTCTTGAGATGCTCTTGCGATATGAAGTATGATGTGACTTGTTCAACAGCATCACGTGCGACAAAGGTATAATCAAACGTTAACTGCTGTCTATATCTGATGTTTAGATTAGTATTATCTATAATACCGAAAAATTATATTCTTAACTTAAGAATTTCCTACTTATTTTTATAACAGTTTCTAAAATGGTTTCCAAAAGATACATGTTTTTAACTTATAGATTATGAGTAAAGTGGAATTTTACTCTTATATTTACTCTAAAAATACACGTTATTTAATTTCACAGGTATTTCATATCAAAGAGATTTTAATAACCACATAATTCATAGTTACAAGTAACATCAAGTATGGAATGGTTTTGTGAAACATATCAAACCTTGTTTCACATTTTATCTAATTTGTTACTTTTAATGCATAGACACTGTGTTATAAATAATACAGTGGAGAGTATTTATAGTGTCTGATCAAAACCTGATTGATTATGATGAGAAGATAATAAAGAGGCTCGAAGAAGAAAACCTAAGTCCACTTTAGATGATCTATAATTCGGAATAGAATTTTATTTCTGATTTTGCATGTCGTGTAATCACAGTATAATCTGTAGGGACACTTTTCGTGTTGGCATCTCGTCCGCTTTGATCTCAACGTGATCATTCGCTATCTTAATATTAGGATCGAAAGAAGAAGGTGTCCCATCTATTTTCCAGAGATACTTGTTTATGTACATATGGGGACATAAATGCTTAGCCATCCGAAGTTGCACGCGTATCGGAGAAAGCACAAGAAATAGTGAGATGAAGGCATGAAAAGGAACGAGATGTCATAAAAGGGCCAGACATTTGTGTCCCGATGCGTTCCCGTTATATAACATATATCATGCATAAATATGTCTCAGAAACTTACTTATAAACATCTACGTTAAATAAACTATTAAAAGTTTTCTTTTTTTTATTTCCCTTTATTATTTTCTCATTCGTCAAAATTAGTCAAATTTTAGCAAATTATAGATAGTGCACTGAACACCGCACTACCTATAATTCTTTAAAAATATTGTAAATACCAAGTGAAACGTATTCTGTGGAAAATGTGTAGGCTATTTGGCGAGAACACAAATAGATCGATCATCATGAAGTTAGAATATACTAATTTAAAAGAATTAGTTATAGAATATATTCTAATAGCGTTTTTCTCTTGGGATACACTGGGTGCAGTCTCACACCGCACCAATTGCGTGTAAGCGCTACACTCAGCTACAGTGCCTGCTACACTACACTAGAGTGGTGAATATATATTCTTCAAAAGATATTCTAGAAACTGACAACAAGAAGAAATTATTCATTAAGAAATCATTCATTAAGAACGTGTTAAGAGGGCTTACAAATGTATAATTGTCTTACTTTTAAAATATAATGATCCCACTGTGGTGAAATGCGATAGGAGTATTGCTGAGACATGATATGTTGGGATTCGAGGAGTCATCTCAAAACGTATCGTTTCTTTATTAAATACAGAACTTATTGGACCTATAGCTGGTGTATTCGATAAAATCGTGTACTTTGCAGAATTATATGTTATATAAATATCAAAATTCGCCTGAAATCGTGGTTCATCAAAACAAGGAAATATTCGTCGGGCCCCAATTGGCAGAAAATCTAATGCGGCTAACCATCTGTTACATTTTAACGATATATTTTGCATAATTATAAATATTAAATTGAATATAACAATGCGCTTATAACATTTTAATTTTTACTCACGTTGTATCTCCTTTATCATTTATAAATGATGTTCTGAAAAGCCCTTCACTGTCTTCTCTATATTTGAATGTCAAATTTAGGCTGTAAGAACCAGGTGATAATTCCCTTTTGAATATATAGGTAAAGACATTATTTCTATTGCGATATGTACGGTCTACTGGAGAAAACGACTTATCTAACGGTACATATCTATTTCTACCTCCATACCAAGGTTTCAATTCTTGAAAATTTAATTTCGATATTCGTGATTTATCCATGTGTAAACTTATATTTTGCGTTGGACTTTTAATTTTCAAATCGATTATGCATGTGCCGTAAACAGAGATATTTTCGTTCATGTCATATAGTGTTAAATGGATTGTATAGAGTATCGGATATATACTGTCTGGTAAACGGTCTTCACCTAATTCCCGCAAGTCCTGATATTTCGGATCAATGGCGTAAAGTAAGTCTGCCGCACCAAAAAGTAATAGGCCACTTTTTAATAACAGTATTAAGAATCCTATACCAATTTCCATTGCAGATATCTGTAGAAATTTTTTAAATAAATAACAAAAATTTATTTGCGAAACGCAGCGCAGTCTCTAAAGCCTCGTTCATCATAATTTTGTATGTAAAAAGCAGAAAAGGGATACAAAAAAGCTATAGTAATTTTTATTAAGTAACGTTAAAAAAATGTTTGGCAATTTATTATTTAACGGAGATTCATAACAAGTGTTAATATTGTAAATTTAATAGTTTATTATAATATCATTTAATAATATTGATTAATAAATATTATTAAACAATAAATATTAAATAATTATTTGTTAATTAAATAATAATTCATTATATAATACTTATTTTCTACATTTGTAGTAATAACTTGTTACTTTCAAGATTTGTTTGTCATTTGTTTTAAACAAAATAAGCAAATATTATGTGACCTAACGGCAAACAAACTCGATAAAATAAAATCAAATTTACTTAAATTTCTTTGAACGCGTCATTTTACTTTTACGACCGTATCTAACCGACACGAGAACGTCGATCTAATATGAATCGAATATAAATTATTGTATGTTCAAGTATATATGTTTCTGTGATATACATTTATGATTACATAAATGTATACCTTCTTCAAATTTTATAAAATTTTATTTAATCTTCTTTTATAACAAAAATTAGCATTTAGGAAAGCTAATGGATAGTAATACGAGCATATCAAGAAAATCAAATAAATACATTTATTCTTAAATGGAAAAATTAGCATTCGCATTGTATATTCACGTATTGTATACTCAATTTATCATAAAAAAATCATCTAACTCAGAAAAACGTATAGAATAAACATGAAGAATGCGAATATGTATATATTCTTCCTTTCGAATTATTCAAATATATCCTACGCCGCGCTTTTGTTACATTTTTAAAGATATCTGATGACGAAATGAGATTGACAAAATTTATTTACAACACTTCATCCATGATCATAATTTAGGATACATTCTTGGCCAAATTGATTACTAGATCGCTAATTAGTAACAGTTTTAAAAATAATATGCCAATTTTCGTTTGAGAGATGTTCGTAGGAACATTTAAAAAATATAATATAAATGCAGAACTCTTTTTATAAGCTTTAAAATATAAAAAAGGAAATAGAAATATATAAACTATTACAATTCGGAAGGAACATAAAAATAAAAAATGAATCTTGTTGATTATTATTGAAAAAATAAATTTTAGTTAAAAAAAAAATACGCATTTGTTCGATTATAAATTATGTATTCTAGCGATTACACAGATTGTTCTGACATATATGTTATACTTTTGGCGACTCACCTTGTGTATTAAAATTGTACACCTAAGTTAATATAAGTTGTTAATATCGAAAATATACATCTACGATCTTATCTTTTCGAAAGATAATCGAAAACTGAGAACGTTGTCGATGTCCGATACAAAAATACGTATAGCATCATGTATGTATTTAAGGTCATTCGTACATTATCTTAATTATTAGTAGTCAATAAATATTATTATTTAGTGTGTAATTAAATCAACTTTACAGTAATTTCGCTGTTCTGTGCCCGAAAGTGTCAAGATAAAATCATCGTAGAATTAATGTTTTATATGTATGAGATATTTCACTTCTTGTATCAAAATATGGGAATCAGAGTAAAATCTAAAATATTTTGTAAAATTAATTTTTAGATGACATTATCTTTATACTTTTATATAAAAAATATTATTAAATATAAAACTTTAAAAAGTTCACTTTTTCTCGCCAAAAATGCTGAATATAATGATCGTAGAATATTCATGAACCGGAAAAATATATTAAATTTAAAAACAACCTATATATGTATGTTCAGAAAGACATATTTTATAATTTTAAAGTGCGCGAACCTCATATTCCGTTTCTTTGAAATCAAGATGCTTAAATTCGCCTTGCACCAAATCAGAGACAATGTACAAATTAGTGCATTCTTAATTTAACGCTTTGATTAAAAAAGGATTAAATTTTATTTTTAATGTTAAATTTATTTTAATTAAAAATTTTATGTAACTTTTTTTTCACGCACTAATATAATCAAATATTATTATGATTACATTCTTTTTTAGTAAAGCTTATAATTTTTGTTAAAAATTCTCAAAAATAAGTATTTTTCTGAATCTTCTGGGTACATATACTTCCTCAATGAGCTATTATGTTTCTTTATATTTTCTTTGTTTATTAGTTGTATCGCTAATTAAAGGTAGCATAAAATCTATCGCAAGTCATAATCTCTAGACGTTTAAAAGATATCTTGGAAATTAAATCTTTCATTAAATAACTAAATATTAAGTTTTGTATGTGTTTACATGGATGTGTGAATGCGACTTGATTCATGCATGCCTTATAAATGAAAACTTCATTTGTTAAAATATTAACAACAATGTAATAATTGCAGCTCAAATACTGAAGGTATTAAACTTTCATTAATTATCATAAATTACCGATTGATAATTCTGCCATTAAAGTTCTATCGTCAACAGAGGGGAGAACAACAGATTTAAAAAAATATATTGGAAATGCAATTAAATAATTTAAATGACTAATGGTAAAAGTCATATCATCATTATGAATTTCGGAAATCACTATGCAAACGACTGATAAAATGTAAAACAGTTGCTCATATATAATTATATATAAAACCATACATAATTATGTATGATTTTTCTAAAATAAACAATGCGAAAATTATCTCTTCAATTATTTTTGATGTTTTCTTATTATTATTATTACTTTTATTACATTAAAAAATAATTTAATAAAAGAAAGGAGGATGTATGGACTTGTATGAACACATTTTATATATAATTATACATGTTTATGAATATTTATGCATATTTTTACGTATTAATGTATATATTAGGTGTTAAACTTAATTCCTGCCATTTTTCAGCTCCAAAATTGATTTGTTTCGAAGGGAAGATGAATGAATACTTTAATCAAAGTAATTTCCTCCATTTTCTACTTTATTACTAATTAATAATACCTTATTAACAATACTTTGATTAAGGTATTTCCCTCCGAAACAAATCAATTTTGGAGACGAAAAACGGCAGGAATTAAGTTTAACACCTAATACATACATGAAAAATTTTTTACCGGAATTAAAAAATTATTATTTAGATTTAATACAAAAATTTAAAAAAAATGAATAAATGTTTTTGAATATGCTTTATTTATTATAAACAGCAATATTATCTACATAACTCAAACAGATTATTATTTATAACAAAGGTAGACGTATACACATTACACATATAACATTGATTAAACATTACATAAATTTATTATAAATAAATTAAATATATCGCTGAAAGTATTCTTCTTGTTGAGTTATTTCACGTAGGCGTACTTCTATTTTATGTTGAACATATACAAGTTTCACAAAAATTGTAAGATCTGGTAATTCAGGTATTCTGCATATCTGCATCTAGAACAAATTATTGAATTAATTAAAAACGTATATACATAGTCAGCATTAATAAATATAATAATTTGACACTAAATAATAAAAATTTTACACACTATTCCTTTAGAATTATCGGTTATAATTAGAACATGATAATACATATGCACCCTGCTCGGGCGCGTGTATAATGTATTTATGTAATTATAAATAAAAGATATAAATACATTAATTAAATAAAAACAAATTAAATGTATATATGTTTTAATACATTAAATTTACCAGTCTATATATCTCAGAATTCCTAAGTAGATTTTTAAATGAAGAACCATCAGTTGACCATGATGTTAGATATTTACGCGAATAAGGAGTAATCTAAAACAAATTATTTCGATTCTTATTAGTAATTAACATATTAATTTTGTATTTAAAAAATAAGTATTTCTAATATTTTAGTTTTTAAAATTAGTATATATATGTATGCATATTATATATATGTATATATATATATATATGTAAAACATTAAAAAATAGGTACAATAAAAAATGTAATATCGATGAAACATATAATTTACCTTATTCAATTGCTCCTTGGTATACACGTGATTAATAATATCTATTAATGCTACAGTGACAGACATTTTTCTATGTAAATAAAAGAGCTTTATTATTAGTATATATACGAATTTTTTTTACGAATTTAAACATTATATCTTATCTTCGAATAAAAATACCTGGGTTTTATTTTATCCAAATTTAATAATATATAATCAAGCATGGTATCGTTCTTTGCATGTCTCGCAATGACAGAATGAAAAATGTAAACTTGAACGTAATCTTGTTGTGTTTCATCATGAAACTTTGCTGACCTTATGAACTCTATATAATTACGGATAATAAAGAAATCTTCGGAGCAAGCCATGAATTTAAAGTACATATAATCAGGTAAATCAAGTTTTCTATTATGTGTGTTATATAATGCTGAATACCAAGTATCATTATCTGCTATCATTAAACCATTACAGTATGTCCATTCCTTCCACCCAGGCGAAATACTAGAATATTAGGAAGAGAATATATAAATTTAATTACAAAAATTTTGTTTGTAGCATTTTAATTTGATCAAATAATTCATTAAGCACTGCATAAATACGAAAATTACTTTTATTATTAAAAATTAAAAATAATACAAATAATTATTTATATTACGTTTGGTTTTTTAAATGTATCTGTAATCTAGAGTAAGCTTCATTCTTGCATTCGAAAGAACCAAAAATACATGTCCATCTTAAAATCTCTTCTTTTAAAGTGATATCGAATAAATAATCAGAATCATATCTTATTGTTTCAACAAAAATTTTATTTACTATTCTCAGCATATTTCTCTACAAGAATTATTAAATAATATAATATTTACGTTGGTTCTTTATTATACTGATGAAGAAAAATTAATGTTTAAATAAATGTGTTAACCACTAATTTTTTGTTATCTTCATAAATTAAACATAATCTAAAATTGTGTATATTTTATAAACATATTTATTACAGTATTATACGTTCACATACGAACTAATCAACTCAATTTTACGGAACGTAATTAATTAATTAAATTTGATATTTAATTAATTAATTACGATCTGTTATGATATTAAATCGCTGTATCAGAAATGTATAATAATTTACAATCTGTGTATAATAATTCGAAAAAGTATGTTGGCTAATTGATTATTACAAAACTTTTTACAAAAATATATAACTTTATTAAAAATTTTACTTTGAGTCTTACTTGTTTAATAAATATGTTTAAAAGGAAATAATAAAAGTTAAAAAAAAATTCAAAACTAAAAAAGTAAAATTGATTTATAATATGCTTTTAATATTCTATTTTCAAATTAATTAGATTTTAAAAACGAAAAGAGTTTATTTCAATATATATACTAATTTGTTAAAGACATCAAGAAATAATTGATATAAAATTAATTACAATCTAATATTTTACATATTTTATTGACAAAATTTAATATTATCTACCTTGATATATGAACTGCTTTGCCAATGGAAAAAAATCGACATGTATTCAAGACCTTTAAACATAGGATACCATGCTATAAAATCTGTCTCTCGCTGTAAATATTCCGTGAGAGCCAAGAATACATTCAAATCAGTTTCCTTTCTTATAAAAAAATAAAATGCGTCATCGATAATTTGAGCACGATTGAGAACATGTATATTATTTATATGATGTTCATCCGAGTTTAAGTATTCCGAGATTTGTCCCAATATAGTCTTATCGTAATGGACACGATAATATCCTGTTGTATTAGGTGTTAAACTTAATTCCTGCCGTTTTTTGTCTCCAAAATTGATTTGTTTCGAAGGGAAGATGAATGAATACCTTAATCAAAGTAATTTCCTCCATTTTCTACTTTATTACTAATTAATAATATTTTATTAATAATACTTTGATTAAGGTATTTCTCTTCGAAACAAACCAATTTTGGAGACGAAAAACGGCAGGAATTAAGTTTAACATCTAATACAATCAAAAATTCTTTTCATTATTGGTATATAATTTTGATCGATTTTTGCTAACAATACTTTTACAGTTTACTGTACTTCATTTTCTATTACATTTACTATTAGGATTATCCCATTAAAATTATATAGAAACTTACTATAAGTAAAATAACATACTATAAATAAACTTGTAAAAATTTATAATAGGGTGCTTTCTTTCCGGGCGCCGCGGCACTGAGTGCTGTAATATGTTTTTCTAAAAAATCATTAATAATGCAGATCTTTTTTTTATTATCAACCTTTGGTCTTTATTTAACGTTTTAACCATAAGATAACACAATTGTTGTATTTTTTTTTATTAAGTTGGCTAACCTTTTATCCACTCTAAATAAGTATGATACTGTTCTGCAGCACGAAGTGCTGCGTGCGTCTCAAAACACAAGTAAAATCTTGCTTATATAAATAATTGTAATAATGCGACATGTTGAACCGCTTCCCACATTTTAATTTATTTTTACTTGTATTAATATTTAATATCTCTTTTGGTTAGAATTAGATTAAGTAATGTTGTAAATAAATTATAATTACTATTAATTTATAATTATTATTTTTATGTATTAAAAAGATTATTTTATATCATTATTCTGTAAGAGAGATAGAGATAGAGATAGAGATAGAGATAGAGAGAGAGAGAGAGAGAGAGAGAGAGAGAGAGAGA